CAGATTTAACCAATGGGATGTTTTTGTTTGGTGAACCTGGTCACAATATATTTTCCCCATGGATCTCGTGTTCCATAAGTGCAATAAAGTTAGATAACAGCACAAACTTGCAGTGGCAGTGCGAGGGAAACCTGTGGGTAGGAAGATCTCATACTCCCCAAAAATTACCATCAAATGTTAAAACTTTATGTTAAAGTTTTCCTCCTTCGAACCACGGTTTCAGAGAACTTTTCGGCGTGCGTCTAGCCCACGGCCACGTGTGACACTCACACGTGCACAAATTCGGCCACAAATGGTTGGGTGACCTCAAGGTCAAATGGGTAAAGTGGTAAAAACAAACAAAAGCCAGCTCATATACACGCACTAGACACAAAAATTGAGCGGAGGGTACAAATAGGATCGCAATAAACGGGGGAATTTCAGATGTCAACGTAATGGATAATACAATCGTTGCAAGATTTTCAGATCGTTAAAAAACGCCGACTTATTCCAGTTGCTCATCTTTGGTGAAAATAGAGCGAATTTTTATTAAGAAGGTACCAAAAGACTATGCTTATCCACCACTATTAAGGACTACGAACCCTTATCAGCGTAGCTGGCGTTTGTAATCGCTTCCTTCCAAAAAGAATAAAGGTGGACTTCGTCGAGCGACTGACGGAACACTAGGCAGAGAAGTTTTGCCACTGTGACCGATGTAGCTTTCAAGATCCATGGATAGACCTCGTATGGTCGTAACCTTCTGAGGGGTTTGTATGGCGAACATCCTTCTCCATGAAGAAAAATTTAGTTAGCGGCCGTTTGTTGTTTTGTCTTGACAAGGTTGGATGTGAACGGTGCACTATGGCAAAATATGGGCCTCTATATTGTTATCTCTATGCTCCAGAAACCACTATCGTTCACCACAGTGTTCCCCGTTTCTGTCCCCCAAAGAGAAGGCGGCCGACTTATTTTTTGGCGGCGTTCCTTTTGATTAAATGGTACATTTTTGTTTTTCAGGCGGTTTCTAGTATCGCGGCTGGTTTTCCTCAGTTTCACTGGTGAAATTCCAATTTACAGCAGCTCCGAAGTTTACGAAATGCCAGTTCATCTTCTCTGTCTCCTGTAGTTACCTTTTGGAATAATAGCAAAGACCACGTTTACGAACGTTTTCGAATGTTTGCTGGTGTCCATTTGTCCGTTCGACTGCGCGCTGGCTTCTGTAGGGCGAACACCTCATCAGCCTCCAGGCAATGGTCTTGAATATTACCTCCATGCAAGCAGGTCCCAGTTTAACTTGGCCAAGTAAGGTACGATTTTCAAAGTCTGCATGGCGAAAGTTATAAATCCACGTTTGAGGGTCTCAGTTTCTGTCCCAGTACCAGAGAAATCCAAGGGTCAGAAAATGCTCCACCACTATCACAGTGAAATAGTTTTCTTTCTTGAGGAAAGGATTTTAGCGACCTAGAAATCGCCAATAAAAGGCCCCTGTTGGTAGGCTTAATTCTTTCTAAGCACAAGAAATACACTACAATGAGTACGCGCCCCCAGTGCTGAATTTTACGCGAAATCTTCATAGTTTTGCTCGCAATGATTACGATTTACTCATATCCCATTACAAGCTGCCATACGGATATTCAGGGGACCCACAGGGTGAAGCGTGGTTTTAATCTCGTGGGAACATAGTTCGCCATTTCCAAACTAACCAGAGAAAAAATTAACGGTACCGCCTCAAACATTTCTGTCGAATATACATTCAAACGGTATGACAAGGAAACTGTGGGTGTGCTCATTTCGGTAAGCAAAAAAGTCAATAAACGGTAGGAGCTTAGGGGTAAACCGACGGGGCCAGTACAGTTTGACCACTTTTTTCGACTAAGGGCACAATGTGCTTTCCTTGGTCCACTCCAGCAACAAGCATCCTTGGTCAGTGTCTTATCTGGGTTCATGGGCCCAGTATGAATTTGGCCTCAGTAGCTGGTAGGTGAGTGGCTCAAGCGGAGTTCATAAGGTGCTCACCCAACGGGACCGCTTTATTTCTCCCGGCATCAGCTTTTGGGTATTATCTGCACACGACCTTTGTCAGACTGTGCAGTGCACCCCTTTTTTGGATCCAGTAAGGCAGTCCAGGCCTATTTGGTCGCCGACTACCAACATGGTGTCCATAAACTAGAGAGGCTGGAGGATCTAGTGACAAAATCAGTCGGCTGCTTGGCGTATGGATTTATTTGATACGAAAATGGGTGATCACAGGATTGTCATATGATAGCTTACGAACAGCTATGGTTCATGTGGCGTCTCATAAAGGGACCACCAGTAGAACCTGTTAAGATGGTTACCGCTAAGGTAGACTCACCTTTCAGTGGGTCAAGAAATTCTTTAGCTTTACGTAGCAGCCAATGTCTTTACAGTTGCATACCTTATTTGCGTTCCACCTCGTACTGTTTGTTAGGTCTTACCTGTAATAAAATTACCGCAAAAGAAGCCATGAACATGAGGTGCCCACAGAGGCCTGGATGTCCAATTCACTCACAATAGCTTCCCGTGGAAACATCTGGACAGTCACAAGCCAGACTGCATGAAAATGATGTTGGCTGACTGGCCACTTGTTTGTCTCACTCACAGTGAAGAGTGACCCTTTCAACGCCAGAATCCGCTCTCATCTCGAACTCATGTGTGTGGATGTAATGTTCAGCGGACTTCTAAACTAGAAGTTTTTAACATTTAATTATTTTTCCACACTTGAGTTGTCGGAATCCCCTATCTGTATTTTGCTTCTGAAGATACATTAAACGACAACCAGTCGAAAGGCAAAGTTATTAGTGTCCACCAGAGTACGTCCAGTCGGATTTGCTTGCAGAACGCTTTCATACATAAACTGAACTAAAATGGTATCCTCAGACACAGAAGAGCGCTCGAGGACAGCGAAATCCACTCTACATTGGCTGTCATGGCCTAAAAGCGTATCACTGAGGAACAGAAGAGTAAAAGTCCCGAGTTCACTTTCTTGACAACATACTTACATGTATGGTCGATAACCACTTCACGTTAGTAGGACAGCTTTTCGTGGAGTTGTTTCGACTGAGCTAAGCGTTCTTCACTTTTAATACAGGTATAGCTCACAAGATCGTTTGAACTGAGTTATCACTCACACAGCTAGATTCACAATATCTTCATCAGGAAATTGGACCGAAAGACGTTGAGCTCACACTCTACGGCACATATTATGATTTTCCGCGTAACACCAGCTACGAAAGCGCCAACGCTTCACGACCGTCACGAAGAAACTGGACCTTACCGTGGTGCGGCGGTTTGTGTACCTCGGTGACCCATTGAACTATACTGGGTAGTTTTCGCACGATGCTCACACAGTCTCTCATACCAGGTTGGTCCATGGGTAGAGGTCTGACGAACACAGTCTCCTGGCCCTCCAGGTTGGAAAATGTATTGCGACGTGTTCCGTAAAAAATAGTAATGTACTTGCATTTCCAGCTGAACACCACTGCCTTGCTGCTAGACTTTTGAGCCAAAGGCCTTGGTTGAGGACCCTAATCGTACTCCGTGTCTAGGTGTGGGCGTATCCCAGCCCTCGTACAACCATGACATACACAACGTTTCACGGGAAGCTCAGAAGCGAAGCCCCGTAGGTAGTTTCAGAAATGCGGGTCGGATGTAACCATCAGAACCAAACGTGGTGGTTCCCCATAATCAGGCAGATAACAAATTATAACTACTCCCTGGTTTCCGAAGTGCTCCTCTTCAACTGTAGGGCAGTGGGAACAAAACGTACCAAAATCTTCTGAGTCTATTATGAGGATTTATCAGTTCGCCTTTCTATGCAGTGATAGACTTGACGAAACCGGGACAACATGGCCTGTTTGGAAGTTCCTATTCAGTACTGTTAAAGGTAATACATAACCAGTGGAAGAAATTTATTTAGAAAAGACTTCCATCAAGAACTGAAAATAGCAATCCCAAAAGGCACTTCCTGCTATGAGAGGGGAGTATAAGCCATGTACATAGACGTCCGGATCATCGTCTCCTTCGTGCATAAAAACTTTACCAGGTAAGATGCGACCCAAATAAGCTAACACCTACTGTTCGAACGAAAGGTTTGCTGGTTTCGAGTACATCGGAATCGTTTCCGTAGATGAAGTCATAGATGGCACTTGAAACAAAACAGAAAGTAAGGGCTTGAAATCATTCAGCTGCAACACCCTTTCGGTGCCTAGCTGCCATGCCACATGAAGGAAGCACGAAGGCTGGGATACTGCCAGGTTGCCCAAGCCTAGACAGGGGAATTCGAGAGGCAGAGGTCCGACTTGAATCACGGATATTCCGGTCAGTGAATTCGCGCTCTAGCCACCGAAGCATCCCGCCCCCTGCTTGGACTTTGTGACATCATTCGAAGGAACATCCTTTGGTATTGATCAGTAGGAGAAAAATGCTGGTGATCGGTAGGATGGCTTGGTCCGATGTAGACATTGGCCACCAGCATTCCTAGAATATCGACATTATGTCGAGAGATGTGCATACTAACAAAATAAACGCGAAATCCATCAGACTAAGGGAAACTAACAGAAAACGAGTTTCTAATCCACAAAGCAAACCGGACCGGTGTGAAAGCACGAAACGGCGCTGAGAAATGTCATGAATATTGAGAACGAAAAATGATGCCCCTTGGGTCGCAGGTGCGCAGGCCGCTGAAAAATAAGTTCGCGTAACCGTGTAAAAAGTTTCGCCTGCAATCAAACTTTTACTTGAGATCGAACAGCTATCTCCTGAGACAGGACTGCTTGGCTCTTGACTAAAACAGCTGTATTATCGAGCATCTTTCAGTGGCCATTCAACCGAGCTTCGTCCAACTGGAAGAAAACAAGCGAACAGTCAAAACAAAAATATACTACAAAGGGAGCAGTGTACAAGGGATTTTTTCCAGCTCAATCACATAAGGTCCTGACCCGAGTTTCCAGCTGTAACAAACAGGAAAGGATGCTATCCCGAATGGTTGCCCGTGTGCCTTCGTCGGCAGTCAGGATGTGACTGCTATGGTCCGCGAGTTGAATAACTGTGTTCGGGTTTGGCTGAAAGCGGAACACGGATACAAAGAGCCTGAGCAGGGCGTACACACGGCAGCGTGTTTTCAACACAAAGAAGGGAAAAATTATGCATAAAAACTGATCTAAGATGTCCCTATACAAAAAAGACAACAGATTAGAGAGGCAAGTACATACTTTGATAGATGTCTAATTCCACCAACCAACAGGTGGAACAAGTATCCTAATTGTTTTGGGAAGGGTGTAATGGTTTATCGTCGTGGAAGAATGCATCCCCAGAGGTAGCTGATAGGTTGGAGCTTGAGATGGCTCAGTAGTCAAGGCACTATCTTCCTGACCGGAAAGTCCGTCCTTCGAACCCGACCTCTGCATCTCGATTGCTCCTGTCTAGGGTTGGGCAACCTGTCAGTATATCGGCTCCCATGCTTCTTTCATGTGGAATGGCAGCTAGCCACAGAAAGGGTGCTACAACTGGACAACCGATAAGTTTAGCTGTGAAGCAAATATCCAAGATTGACATTCATTCGAGAAAAAATAATTCTTGCATAGGAGTAAAGTAAATCCTCCGTGCGAAAAGAACTTCACCGAGGAGGTACTGGCAACGGTGCGCAAACTTTTCTAGTACACACGTTTTAGAGGAAGTAAATCCCAGTGACTAAATAGCGGAGACTTTCTAGTTCTATAAATGGCTTGGTTATCTCACAAAGGGGACATCGCAGAAGAAATGTGCCAAGTTGTCCCCTAGATACCAAAGTTTGAATAAACAGAGCCTCAATTCTCATGAAGCAAAACGTTTCACATATGAAATTCCACGACCCAGATGTAGTGTTGATCAATTCTGAGAGATAATGCCCCCTTTAAGGACACAGTGTTCCAACGGGAAATTCCATATAATAGTACTAACTACCTATCAGTAGGCAACAAACCACTGCGATGCTCTGAAGAATCCGCCAGAGGCTCCTGTAGAATGCAGGTAATCATCGACTTGACCTGTGGCTTCACCGAAGATTAATGGGAACTTACGAAAAGGATATAATCCGCAGACTGTGCGTTCGCGGCGTCTGATTCACAGTGGTCCCGTGTGGGAAAGCGTTGCGCAATATGCGAAACCATCGACTTGTCTGCCAAATAAGCACCTGTCACGCCCCGTTCTGTGAGCTCCTTGATCAGTCGAAACGGTTCGATGCGCGGGATATGGCTGACGAAAACACGATTATCCGATTTGATCGACTGGCCCGAGGATTTCACCTCATCTTCACCGCGGCGTCCAGCCAACGCGGCTGGAATTGGCGGTGTGGAGGGTCGAACAGTTCGATTTGACGAAAACCGTGATGTACCGGAAGACTCTAGTTCTCGTGGGTCATTCAGCCAGTATTTCCCTTGATTGAAAAATGAGAGAAGAGATTTACTGCCGTGAGCACCTAGTACACCACACGGTTGTCAGCCCCAGCGTATTGATAGGTTGCTACGTGTAACACGCTGTGGAACAAAGAAAAACTTTGTGTTCTGATATAAACAAGCGAGAACTAGCCACAAGAGCGAATGAAAGGAGGCAAACGCGGAAAAAGTCGTGAGGCTGAAAAGAAAATTCAGTGTACGCGCCACCGACTGCCGCTTTACAGCGTTCAGTCATAACTAGACCTGCTTTGAGTCACCTATAAAAGGATCACACAACGATCGTATTACCATAATCTGCAGTGGATTATCTTCCGGGACCTCTAACAGGAGTGCTACCGATTTTCAACGTGAGTAAAAATGGGTGTGAACTGTTCACGATCAACTGATTTCAATGGAGATGAAATGCTGTGCATCAGAATCAAAATGTTCAGCTATGGCATCCTTTCTACGCATGGCTGCTGTGCAATCCGAGGGGATAGAAGACACACTAGGACAAGGCCAAGTTGCCAAACCCTAGACGGGAGCAAACGAAAGGTAATTGGTTCAAACTATTGACCTTGAGGTCAGAAGTTTTGCCCCCACCTCTGAGCTATGTCGGGATCGTTTAGCAAGTAAGATATGTAGTGGCCTAGTCACGTGCTGCGCAGAGAAGAATAAGGTGAGAGAGGAAGCGTCTATGATGATTACGCTGAAGGAGACGTGAGGCATGGTTAGCAACAACAAAACCCGTTTCTCTTAGCTAGAAATGGCAGAAAAAACAGTGGTAGTGGAGCAATACGATATTACGAGTTTCCGAAAAGCTGAATAATACAACGCTATTCGCCGCAATCGGGGTACTACACAGGGGCGCTTCTTCATCGACAGCACATTTACATTCAATACCGATGCTCAGCTGCCGCAAAAAATACTTGAAAGTCATATTGTGAGAAAAGCTAGTGTTGGTTACCATCCCTTCAACGTTTATCCTCAACCGCTTTCACAGTCCGGTTACTATCTCATCAATGTTTACCTTCACCACTCACCTAATCTGTTTAACGCGTGCAAACCCACTGTTTCACTCCTGTTCTGATTACGTCATGAAAATTTCGCCCCACGACTAACCGAGATTACTGGAATCTTATCCTAAGACAAACAACGCAAGTGCATCCTCATTCACAACGGAACAACGACAACAGGAGGTCGACGCTCGTCACTTCACACAGCGCCTTGACCAGAGTCAATTCAAACCTATGCGTGACTCACTGTGCAGGAAAAGTCTGGGCTCGATAGCGCTTTGGAGTAAGTGACAAGAAACAGGCCAGATCTCAACACACTCCGTCAAGACTCGCATTCAATTCAACTGCGTCCTACAAACCTCGACTGCATCTACTACAACTTATCAAACGAAGAACTCGATAAGTCTCTCATTCCTTTCATGTATTATTCAGTTGTACTGGTGTCTCTGATAAACACTATACATGACTGTTTATTGTTAGTGTTATTCACCTTCTGATATTATTTCGAGTAAAAGACAATAGCACTAACACTAGTGCTAGCCTCCTACAAGCATCCTGAGTTGTCTACACTACCAAACACACCTGGATGGAAACTGCCAAGAACGCTACTGACCTCAGGTAGCGGCTGTATCTTACAACGTCCCTAAACATGTAAAGAGGAAATCGCGCCGATAACACGCGCCCTTTTCGAAGTCGCTTTCATACCAGTCAGTCAGGTCAAAGGTTGAGAGCCTCCATCCTTGCGCCGCTGAATTAGCTACAGAAAGCAGTCCTGTTCTTGGCGAAAAATTATCTGACATTTGCAGTACTGATATGGACATGAAGATGAGATGTATGTCCATGTGCGTATCGCTATCTGGCTGGAAAGACGTGAGAATTTGCCATGCTTAAAAAGGAGTAAATTTGAACCAGAGGGTCTATGGGCTGTACTCAAAATATACCAAAAGATTATTCCAAAGGAGGAGATTGTGTTTTCTTACCGAGCCAACCGCATGAATTGTAGCATTGTAACAATAAGCAGATACGCTTTAGAAACCAAGCACAACGTTTTGCATTGCCGGACAGTAGTACGGGGTGACTGCAGTTGTATAATCTGCTCCAGATCTCAGCACACAGGTCATCCGCGGTTATGAAATTCCTGTCCATTTTGTCGAACCAGAAAACATTTTAGCGAACATACACTCATTTGCAAACTTTTTTTTTCAGAGACTCACCTGGAACCCAGCTGAATCTCTCGTTTGTGACGTTCTCGAAAAACCAAATTAGTTTGCAAATGAGCGTATATTCACTGATTTCGTGCAATTTGGTTTCAAGTAGAACATAAGGTTGACGGAAACTCGAGGACTGCGCCTACCTGATGAGCCCTAAGAAGGGCGAAATCAGTCGTGAGCTGTCGAGGAGTTTTCAGCAATCTTATGAGTAGTGCATTACAGAAAACATGTTCTTCTGAATCACAGTCCTCGAGCCTTACCAAAATAGGTTTAGCATTTACCGAGAGGGATTATTCAGACTTATGTTGTTGTGCGCTTCCCAAGTGTATCCACTACACCGCAACAACAGTGCATCGTCGGTCCTGTATTCAAGCCTTCGAGCTATGAAATGGCTGACCCCGTTGTTGAACTGAGTCGACCGGGCATGGGAGTTAAGCCAGTATGGCGTATCTTGTTTCCGAACTATCCTTCATGAAGCAGAATGACCAATTCCCTTCGTTTTTATCAACAGTGAAAACCACAGCAAAGGTAATAAACCCTGATTCAAGCGAGTGACGCTAAAATAGACACCACACATATGTGACTGAACAATTTTCCAGGAACGAGAAGGAAGGTTACTGGGACAATTTCGAATTGGAGCTTTTTGTTGTGACATTGATTTAATGTTTTTCGGAGACGAGACTAAACAGCAACGGAGGGTATCTGTGTTGTGCCTTATGCTATGCTATCTTTTGTATTTGTTAACAAAAGACTCCACCGTTCGCGTTTTTTTGAACGAAGAGCATTCCAATAAAACGAGAATGGTCAGTTCTCCACACTTGTCTCTTTAAAGTTGTGTTTCCATGATCTTGGTGTTCATATGATATCTGAAGTCTATCGATATCCAGAAGTATCTGCCAGTCGCACGTTCTCATGGAAATGAACTCCTCATCGAGTAGTACCGGTGTATACGTCCTTGAAAGATACGTCCACCTAGTGTTTCGGGTGATAGAGGAACGAAACTTCCCGGTGGAAGAATCTGTGCATGTAGCAGATCGTTTGTGTTTAGTTTGATGGAGAGTGTGTACCAGCCGTGGTGATCGCTCAGCTATAAGAATAATTGGAACACCTCAGATCACCCGATCACTCGAAACATGATTATGTTCGATTAATAATCTACAGCAAGAATATGGAGGATGAATATACACTCATTTGCAAACTAATTTGGTTTTTCGAGAGACTCACCTGGAACCCAGCTGAATCTCTCGTTTGTGATGTTCTCGAAAAACCAAATTAGTTTGCAAATGAGCGTATATTCACTGATTTCGTGCAATTTGGTTTCAAGTAGAACATAAGGTTGACGGAAACCCGGGGACTGCGCCCGACTGATGAGCCCCAAAAAGGGCGAAACCGGTCATGGGCTATCGACGGATTTTCAGCAACCTTATGAGTAGTACATCACAAAGATATGGAGGAACAGTTTTGTTGTGCCCACGACTCCGATAAAACTGATTAGCCGGCTCTTTAGAAGAGCACAAGACACACAAGACCCCATCTGTCCAACACAAAGCAATGAAATCATGGGACAATCTAAAAGAAATCCGGAGCACATTGTTGAATACAAATACTAGTTTCGATGGATGATCCATTGCAACTTACCATCTCGACTTGTCAACAGACCATCAACAAGGGCCAAACAAGAGTTTTCGACGCTTGACTGAACGACGTTGGTGTCCATTTTATGGAAGCGCTTAATATCTGGCTCCGTACTGTCGGTTGACGGTGCTGAAATGCGTTTGCTGCCACTTGGCAACGTTTGATCATGATCACTTGACAAAATTGTTGTGGAAACATCCGATTTGGCAAGAATTCCTGGTTTGGTTCTAGGGTCAGACTGACCTTTGGTTGTGGTCTTTACAGATTTGGAGTGTGGGTCGGTCACGTGGACTGGTCGTAGATGACGCACCAATTGGGCTGACAGACGCACCGGTTGCATTTGAGAACCGAGGGTCGGCAGGCGTAATTTTTGACCAGCAGCAATGTAATGCGTCGTGAAGTTACAGGAGCTCAAAGATTCAACCTACAATCGAGAGTACAGAGAGAAGGTAAACGAGGACTGGTCATGTTACGAGGATATCAAAAACGAGAGATTCAGCTGGGTTACAGGTGATTCTCCCGTCAAAACCAAATTGATATGCAAATGAGTATATTTGTCTAAAACTCTGCTAAGTCTCTAGCCGACAAACCGTGCATTGAAGTGTACGGTTGCAGCTTTTACGGCTTTATTCACCGAGGCGATAACCCGATCAGCTCATTGACGTCGAATGGTTCTGTCTGGCTTGAATGACAGGGAGTGAGAGCTACGCACTGAGGGCGATAGCTTCGTTGCGAGACAACCATACCTTCCAGGTTTCCTAACCACTGGTTTGTCTCGTTCCGCGGTCCCCATCCGGAACTTGCTAACGTGAATGAGTTGGCTGGTAAGGACCTTCACGCTTCGTTGCCGAGTCATGAACTGACAGCCACTCAGTCCTCTCCATCCACTACAAGGCTGAGCCAAATGGGCTTACGGAGTACGTGGCCTAACCATCATAACCTGTATGACAATCTGGTCTATCGAGGGTTAACTTTACCGAAAATCATCTGATTTAGTTCAGCATTACTAGTCTGAAGTTCTCAACCGATCCCGAAGCAGCAGCCACGTCTCTGATCCATAAATCTGATAGATCGGGTCAGTGCATTGTAAACTCTACCCTTGACAGTACAGCTGATTTTAAGCCGGTGCCCCAAACGCTTCTCCGGTCTTCCTAATCCAGAAAGTGAGTTCGTAGTTCGCCATTCCACCGAGATTTATGCAAAAACCGAACCGTTTAAAAGCTTTACAAAGTACTGCACAATAAAGAAGCCAACTGTGGAGGGCATGCGATTGAGAGAAGTCCATAAACTGCTCAGCAGGATTTCGATGGACAAAACACGAAAAGTGAAGCCCAAAGTAAAACGATTTAGCAATGGTGATTCAGGTGACGGTCAGCAGGGATGAAAGATCCGCTCTACATGCATTCAGGGGTTGTTCCTCAGAACTCTAAATAATATCACATTCTTGGATGTAGGATTGCAATGAATTGTCCCAAGTCACAAGAAAGGAGCAATCTTGCTTCGTCCTTTTAAACTTCTCCTATTGGTTTTGACCCTCAGAGAAGAAGTCCCTTTCCAAAGGAGTTAATTGGCACCGACCGCATCAGCACAGTAATTTTTTATGGGGTTAATAGAACCACGGATGAAGAGAAATGAGTACTACTTAAAGCTTCGTATGACTTAAGCTGACAATTTGGCGCCTAGTAGGTAACTGGCCACTAGCACATTTGTTTATTTATTTAAGTAGAAGCTTCCACAACAGTCACTCAGTTAGGGATTTCAAGTAAGGGAGAGTAGGGTGGATAACTTGCGCGTTCCGTAGGTGGTCTATCCAAGACCACAAGTTAGCGCGTTGAAAGACGCTCAGTTAAATCGAAGTTATAGTTTCACCTCATAGATCGAAAAGAATGTGGGAAAGTGCAAGTATTTCCAAGTAGTACAGAAGGTATATGCAGTGATCGCTGTGGAGACCTGACTCTCTGGACGGGGAACAATAGGTTATCCACGGCTGCTGACAAAATTTCGCTTTCTAAAAAGCTGCCAGAAGGATGAAGGTCGTTCTACTGTCGCTCAAAAGACACTTGACGAAGGCTTCACACTGTACTCTAGAATTCACTCTCCGGTCAACTTGACAGTCAAATCTCCCCTGTCCTCTGACTAAAACATGCGAAGATCTACTAGTTAAATCTACGAACTGAAAGTTGCCTGAAGAAAAGACTAGTGAAAACTGACAAGATTTTTAAGCGCAACTTTCATCAAAGTTCATGGTTTAGCCGATTAGTTGACCCAACCCGTTATTAGGCTCGATGAAATTCCAAAAGGAACTCTAATATGAATGCATTCGCATGAGCCTCTGAGTGATTTCTAATGATCTTTCAAAGGTCACCAAATGGACCAATCACAAGCGGGGCGGGCTGATGACACTGCAGAAAAGCACTGCTATAACAGATTCATCCCTTTTCATCAGTCTTTCAAAAATTCGTATCGCTGACATAGGTTGGGCACTCAGTAGGTCTTTAGCAAGACGCAGGTTGTTATCTAGTGACCATTCTTCCCAAGGTTTATTGACGAGAGGAGCTTGGAGAATGAGTACAGTTTTCTTTATACTATGTAATCGTATGTATTTCACTAGGGTAGGATAAAAAATACAGTGCTGAGGAATAAAAACAGACAAGACGGGGTAAAGCAAACAGTCAGGGACCCTGAGGATGGGGTCTACCATCAGAGCAGTTCGGCGCCTACCAAGACATTTAATTAATTGCCGAACTACTCATGAGTTGGCAACCAGCTGAATTGAAACACTAGTATCAACTGTGCCCTTAGGGGAAGGTAATTGAGACTTTTACGAGGTAGCTTCTTCCTGGATACGGCATACAATACTATACAACAGACAACAAACGATGAGGAGATTGAACTAATTCCTCGTAGAACATAAGTATAAGCATTCTATCCATTCCATCGGTGCGTTGCAATGACGTCGGCCCGACTTGTGATGAAACGTCTGCAGTCACATTGCTCAGCTCAACGAACAAACCAGAGACCATCGAGGGGGGAATTAATTTCGTTTCATGGAAGAATGACCATGGCCCTTAGCAGACATATGGAAATATTTTATTCACAAAGTAATTCGACCCGAATGGACTCTAATATAGAGGTGAATGGGAGAGGCGGGTAATTACCTTGACAAGGTAAAACGGCGGTCGAGAGAGAAAAACTGAAAACAAGGTCGAATGATGGCTTGCCAGCTCAATTGATCTGGCGTACTGTAACCATACTGGGTCTATAGATTACTGACATTAAAAGCGAGACGTACTAGATAGGGTGCCATCTCAGTAGGCAGGCACAAAGTAAGACGAGGCGAGCGGCATCGAGAGAGTAAATGCGGTAATTCCTCTGGGCCGAGACGAGCTTCCATAGGCAACCAAAACACTGTTGCTGTTTCGCTCAAGTCGCAAGTCGGTACACCAGTTGGAGATTGAGAAGTAGAACAAATGGTATCTGAGGATTTATCGGATGAACGCAGGATGTAGGGACTGAGCAGATGCTGGAGACAGCGCGCAGGACCGAGGGTTGTCGGACTGGTTTGTTGGAAGAAAGCAGACAGATATACAAAGGGACAGTGTTGGACGTATAGCTCAAAATCGGTGCAAATGAAGAACTCGTTCAAACAGACAAACAAACCTGTAAATGTAGTCTCCGGATTCAACTAGGATGATTGAATGTCGAGGAGCCGGGGTACCCGCTTGAGCGGTACGTGTTCCAGGCCGTAGGTCACCGTAAGCCAGTGCTCGAATGAGATGGACCACAGATCCAAACCTCAGGCTTGGGTGGCTTGCAAAAATGAGGCACGGAGAACTAGGCCAAATACCTCCTGAAAGACCAGCCTGGCGATCTCGAGCAGAAGGTGTGGCAAGAGCTACAATTGTGCTGGTATCCAGTGTGGCTGCCCCGGGAGCAGCGGTCGTACTGATGGTGGTTGTAGCAGCGCCGGAGGAAAACCAGTCACCGGGGCGTGTGTTTGGTCCCAACACGAGCGGTGACGTGGATATTGCAGGAGAATCACTTCGGGACTGTGGATCACCGAGACCCTTTACGGTTGGTGTGTGGTGCAAGCTTTCCAAAGGCAGTAAGTGTCCAGAACGTAAAAGCTGTAAACACAAAGTGGAGTGATTCATCGAGCAACATTTTCACTTGGACCGGTTAGGTACGACTTTCCGTAAGACATCTAATCGCGTGGAAGGTAAGTGACGTAGACTCCGGGTTGGCGGGTGTGAATTTCTCGCTGAACCACTTTCGTTTTCCGCCGCCATGAGACTTTTTGCCGGATGAAAAACAGAGCCTTCCCCGGTGACCGGGTGTTTTTGGCATGTATGGTATATCCTCCTTCAATCACCTAAACCGGATAAGTTTTTTTCGCTACTCTAGTAATTCTGATTGGTTGTTTCCACGGAGTTTAAAAAACCAAAGTATCTTATTGGAATCATGATCTATCAGTTCCATGGGACGACGCTGACTGTAACCACTGTGTTTGAGAAACCCGACCAGCAGTAACCTGAATGATCATAGTGTTGCTGTGATGAACAACATTTTGGTCCACAGAACACAACTGTTTGCGACTCTCTGTTCACATAGTTCCACATGTGTTCTACGTGTCCGACGTCATTGTCATCAGATGTGGGTTGACTCAATGAGGCTAGTGGTGGTAGTGATAACAGAGCTGCCAATATGATAAGGTTTTTCAGAGATTTGGACTGTGAGTTAGTCATCATCCATTCACTTCTGTTGGGGGGGGGGGGCTATCAGTATTGTCTTTTTCACTGGAAGTTTTCCTCTGGAGGGAGGAGAAACTCGGATACTTGAACTGATTCAGTGAGGCACAAAAATGATGGCGAACGCGCATTGGTGGGTGTCCCAAATATAAACACTACGTTAAAAGAAAGGTTGTACGGTAACTAGTGCAGGAACTGGCATATCCATCAGCTGGAATCAACGGTTCCAGATCCGAAACTCTGGTATGATTGTAAGAAGAAATGAACGACATATTATGTTAGAAAAACGCCATTTCTAAATTATTTAGTCCAACTAGAAGGTGTAACAAGTAATTTCAAGCGTCTAGCTATGCACTGGCGCACAGCACAGTCAATCAAGACAAACTTCAAGGTTGAACATCTCCAAAAGTGTGGATATGTTGGGGGGTTCGGAAGGCCAACGGTTACACCTTGCTGCTATCTAATCAGGCTACTACCTGCGAATAAAATAGGAATTTTCGAAAAGCACACTCTGAGTACAAACCACTGGATGGTGTTCATCGCGTCCAGATGCGTATATTGGATGAGTTGTTATCAATTACGTAACTACTGATAGTTCATTTGAAACCTCTGGATTAGGGAATCATTCACTACTTTAGCGGTTACGGAAGTTGTATTGTTCGGCGTACCGTTCGAACTCAGGTCCCTGTCAGGATATCTATCATCTTCAATGACAGTTTTTTCGGAATTAGCGACGTCGTGAGTTTAAAAATGAGCTGTAAAGGGTTTTTGAATTTATGGGTGACCCGCACTCAGAGGCTGACCAGAAATTTATAGAATGAGCTCAGCGAACCGAAGCCGTATAGTACTGTAGCGATCGAGTGTCACATTTGTAGTATCCTACATCAGTTCAACCGTGGATGAGGTGCGCGAATTCCCCAGCGGTCTGCTTTTTGTAATGATAAACATTCGGTTGTAACACCCTTTCGGTATCCAGCTAGCCCTGAGGAAGCACGAGGGCTGAGCTACCACCAGGTAGCTCAAGTCTAGACAGGAACAGTGGAGATTCTGAGGTTGGATACCCTTTCGGTAAGTAAATTCGCGCCTTAACCACTGAGCTAGCTCAAGCTCACCACAACGTAACAGGAAAGCGAAGTACAGAACGGTGGTTTGTAATGATTGGAGACTGTGAAGACGCCAAAATTAACTGTGATTTCACCACATATAGCCAAACCAGTCTCTGTCAAAACGCCGAAGTGCTCAAGTCTGGTCTGTCCTGGCGAGTACAAAAATATCCAAGCTGTATAAAATACTAGCATTAAACTCAGAAGCCGACAGCAGGCCGTCTTGCCAGCTACAGTATAATTAACCTCGGTTACAGGCATTCGTACTTCGAGACTTCTGGACATTCAACGCTATCCCAGTTTGGGCTCGTACAAGGACGAAATGACTATAATTCTGATTGACATCACACGACTATGCTGATTTTGTTGAATGGAACCAAAGACCATGAGAGATGTCACCCAACAAAACGCCACTAAACTGGATTAGGGAATCATTCACTACTTTAGCGGTTACGGAAGTTGTATTGTTCGGCGTACCGTTCGAACTCAGGTCCCTGTCAGGATATCTATCATCTTCAATGACAGTTTTTTCGGTTGATCATCTTTCATGCAGCAAGAATTAGCGATATCGTGAGTTTAAAAATGAGCTGTAAAGAGTTTTTGAACTTATGGATAACCCGCACTCAGAGGCTGGCCAGAAATTTATAGAATGAGCTCAGCGAACCGAGGCCGTATAGAACTGTAGCGACCGTGTGCCACGATGGAAACATTTGTAGTATCGTACATCAGTTCAGCTGTGGATGAGATGCGCGAATTCCCCAGCGGTCTGCTCTTTGTAATGATGAGGATCCACCCAACGGGGTCACACTATTGTTGCTGCTACTATTATGAGTAGTATTTCCTTCCGTACTGTCAAGAAATACGCTATCTCGACCACTATTCACCGACGTAGTTGTAGGAGGTACGTGCGATTGACCATTGCCAATAGGTTCGGGTTTTTCTCGTGGGAACAACGGTTGGATGGTGCCCTTGAAATTTTCTTTCGCATGGATAGCAGTTTCAATGAGATCAAACAGCATGCCACAAGGGTTGATGGGGACCAAAACGTGACCTCCACGAGCTAACGTTTGTACTAGGTGGTAAGACGTGCACAAAACAAATGATGCCAAAATATCGGCTAAACTAAAACAATCACCTGACACAGTTCCTTGGTATTATATTCCTGTAGGTTACGTTCAGATAGACAGACAGACACAGTTCAGCTGTAACACCCTTTCGGTGTCTAGGTGCCATGCCGCCCGAAGGAGCTACGATAACTGAGATATCGCCAGGTTGCCCAAGCCCAGACGGGAGAAGCCGAGATGCATAGGTTGGTTTCGAACCTCGGACCTGCAGGTCAGTAAGTTTGGACCTGAGTTGTCTCGAGCTCAGTGTATTTTTCGAATTTATGGTTAAAGGAATTACGAGTGCTTCCGAGTGGACCAGTAAGCTCCGTTCCGTCAGGATACAGCCCATAAATATCGAACACCGAGCTCATCTAAGTTTGATCGTCTCCAACAGCAACTAATGAACTATACAAGGAGTGTGTTCAGATAACAGCTGAGTTTATGGAAGAACAGTTTGGCAAACCCAAGGAAAACCGACCAAGTAGATGAGGCGCAGTATGAATGCATAAGCGTATGGCGGTTGAAAGTACGGTGACATTGGGATGAGTGGCTGAAGACAAACCAGGTCAAATATGCATAAACGGTCGCTGTGGTGGAAAGTTGGGAGTAAAACCGCCGGGACTTTGAGTGGATGTCATGAAAGTTATGTAAGTGGAAGGATAAGTCACGGAGGTGGGGTTATTCCTCCTCCCGCTATGCGCCATGACGGATGTGTGTATGAGATAATATGGACTGCAGCACGGTGTGTTCGAATTAAATAGTAATTTAGAAAATCTTCTCGCTTGAGACCTTCAATCTCAATTCCTTGCTGCCTGTGCTTTCAGTACAGCAGGTGCTTAGAAGTAGGTCACCGTGGCGAGTTCAGTAGGCTTGTTACATAGAGTGAGCACAGGATCAAACATAGACGTTTATTCGAACAACAATTCAATGAAAATGCTTGCCGTGCTTTATTCCATCTTGTTTGCACATGACAAGCTTTGACAGAGTCGTGAATTCGCTTGCTGGTAGGAAAAAGAATCCCTAAACTCCTCTTAATTTCTCACAGGGACGCAGCTGTATTATGAGAGGAAAGCATAAGCGGAAACCCAAAGCGAGACAGGTACTGACACACTCAACTAGCGAAAAAAGCAGACGAATCCCAGGAATTCAGTGCCAAATGACTCGTTACGGGCTACTAGATGCGATGCTTTGTCTTGGAAACACACTACCTGGAATAAGAACTCCAAGGGTTCTCAGATAGTGAGCGGGATATTGCAGTTGTCAACGCCTTCCAGATATAAGGGAATACTGTCCGGAAGCGAGGCACACTAGGTAACTAAACGTCATGTCGATTGGACAGGTGCGTCATGAGCCGGTTACGGAGTAGCCAATCAGGGTCGCGTAATTGTAGCTCGACCCTTCTTGTTCCATCAAGAAGATTCTAGTCTGATCTCGTGGAAACTTCTGTCTTCATTGAGGACTGTCTCAAGCTCCCCTGCTTTTTTGAAACACCGCAATGGGAGGAACAGAAAGTCAAGGACCGATAGAGGTGCTGCAATATAATCTACAAATATACATACCAAAACAATGTTCGCTATTGCGGACCGACGTATTGAACCTGAGACAAGGCCTATACTTGTTGGCACCAAAACTTGAAAAGACCTGAAGTGGATATACAGACATCCCTCGGAGTATGCAATATCTTAAATTTAAAAAAAAATTGTTGATGGAATAAACGGTGTATGTTCTACAAACTCAACCCAGTGCACATCGAGATCCACAGAGATGTCTAAAATAGGAAGATGCACTCTTCTGCATGCCCGGGTTTACAAAGGCCAACCCGATTGAGTGCTCGCCATACATTTTTAAACACTGTGATGAGGAAGCGAAAAACTCACCCACGATGTGGCGAAATTCATTCACAGTCCTTTCAAGTTGCGTGCTTGCAAGCAAGTTCACCGTACCCATAATCAGCACGTCCACATCGGCCAGTAAGGAGTCGTCGAAAGGCTGTGGAAGCAAAGCAAGTGTGTTGTGCTGAGTTAGAGAGATATGGCCGAATCAATCAAAGTCCCATGTCCACTATGGAGGTGGTGACTTCAATTGGTGCTCGGGAATAATGTCGATATAAAGATGCTTGTCAATCACGAAATGTGGAAATTCTATAATTTATTGTGAGCCATGATCAGAATTGAGAAAACAGAGCGGTTTCTCGGAGAAAGCTTGCGGGATTTCATGTCCCGATTCCTCGCTTCAGGAACGATACCATCCAAACTTTTCCACAACCTGCAAGTTCTTAATGAAGTCTTTTAAGCTGTCCAGCAGTACGGAATTTAGACACTAGTTCGGTTTTGGTTGGTTATCCCGGTGGAGTCAAAGTCATCCTGAAGCTCTCTTGGTACAGAAAGGCATACTGGATATGAATAGGAAGACAACAACTCAAATTCGTGCATCAAACGAACTGATACTAGCATATTTATCGAGCAGGAACTAACCCAACCTAAACCAATCGAGATTTCGTGCTGTGGGTAAAATCAATCTATGCTGAAAAGCCTAGCAGAACTGTATAACTACTTCATCGTGTCACGAATCTTTGGGGAGATTCGGATACGCCGGCTAGCGGTTGAAGCCACACAGATCGGCCACAAACAGCTGATAAGCAATGTGATCTCGCGCCTAGAGAGGATATAGTGCCACTTAGCTTGCAATCACGCAATTCATACAATGTGATCACGTGTTGAGTGAAGAGATCTTGGATGGAAGGCTCAGACGGCCGCGCGGAATTCTGGATCCAGCGAACATTACTAGTTTGGCGCACTAGCCATTCTGTTGAATGTTGCACACAAAGTTACCACCACCAAACTTTCTAGTTGAAGCTCCTGCGACCGTTTCGGTTTCTTCGAAGTCCCTGTTCACTAAGCTCCGTATCTACTCAAGTGTGGATAGCGACGAATAACTCGAAACATTCATCCAGTTGGGCGCTTTAGAGTACAAGGACCTGACAAACATCGCTCATACAAGGTTTCTTGTCATCATCTAGATGAACACTGCGCTTGAGATAGCTCAGTGGTTAAAACGCCATATTACGGACCGTGATTCGAACCCAACCTCAGCATCTCGACTGCCCATGTATAAGCTCGGGCAACCTGGCAGTATTCCAGCCTTCTTGTCTGGTCTATAATGTGGGGATTGCATAGGGATCGTGGAGCGTTTTTAGACGTCGATTTTAATTCAGTGAGTCGCAGGTCTTATGCACAGAAAAATGGCAAGTACGCTGGGTGTGTGCAGATTATGCCAGAACGTATGAACCCAAATGACGGGTACAAAAACTTACCAACACATGGGAGTACAGTAGTGAGGTGTGGGATATATAGGCAACCTGGGAAGACGGCATGAAAGAGGAGAAAAAAGTGGGATCAATAACATACGGGAACATAGAGCTGTATACATTGCAATGGGCTGATGCAGGGCTAATTAGGAAAGAGGGGCACAGTTTCCATATAATGAAGGATTAGGGTCAATCTAGTTGCCACTAAATAAGGCTCACTATCCTAAAATGTACCACTTGCTCAGTAGTTATCAGCATACTCAGACACGACAGGCCTGTCGAGTCAGACCGCATTGCACTTAACCTATGGCTCAGTGACTAGAGCGCGAATTCACTGATCGGAAGGTCCATGGCTTGAACTCGACCTCTGCCTATCGATTTCTCCTGTCTAGGCTTGGGCAACCTGGGAGTAGCCTTGCCCTCATGCAACTTTCGAGTGGCATGGCAGTTAGGCACCGAAAGGGTGCTGCAGCTGAACGGATAAAAGGAGCCCTTGGGTACGTTGGAAAAGTTGCACGGTAATCGTCTTCAACACTACGAGGGTGCTTGTTGAAACACAAACACCTCGATCCATATCTATGAGCAAGCAAAGCATAGGAGATAATATAGAGCTCAGTTGTTGACTCTGCATGATTCAAGCGAATGTAGGCAACGCAGAGACAATAAGAAGTACAATCATCTTGGTTGTTGGATGTTGAACTGATTTCCTGAATTGACCACGAGTGTTTCAGCAGTTTCAACTGTCAGGATACTCGGTTTCCATATGTTAGTTATTGACTAAAGGTACCGGGACGTGGTCAATTAGGAAACGTTAAGGATCGTTAAATGAGGCGTGCCAAGATACAGAAATTAAACGGTAAAAGTCGAGAGCACATAGTAATCAGGTTAGGTCTTGGACCTCCGCTTGAAACCGTCCAGTTGCGGTCTCCAACATTTCAACGCTTATCTAGACTTGAAAGATGTCCGTGAATCACTGCGCGGAATTCTACGAAGTATACTCTCTGCTGACTTGACCGTGAGCTGAAACTCCGTGTCGCCAAGGCAATTGTGACAGTTGACAGACTCGAGGACACAGTACGGATGGACCAAAGCCTACTCATACAGGCCAAGCTACACGTCTACACGATGATGGCTATATCTGTCCTCTTGTGCGACAGTGAAATGTCAACCACGTGCCGGAGCAGCGTCAGACATGTAAGAGGCCTACACAAGCGCTGCTCGAGCCGGATAGCTGGCATTAGGTAGACTGAACTAGTTCTAGACACGGAGGTTCTGCGATTCATGTGGTGACAGGATGGAATCAACGACCGTAATTGTGAGGTGGTTTGGGCATATTTGTCGAACGGAGGAGAACAGAATCCCAAGGCGACTTCTGTACCGCCAACTGGATACCAAGAAGGGGAAATTAGGCGGACAGAATAGTTGATAGCCGGACACTAGTGTAAAGTCTGGAAGCAGTCCACGTGGATCTCGTGGAAATGGAAGGCGAAGCACAACGTAGTACATCATGGACAGCAGTAACGCGAATCGGAGTTCGTCAATTTAACAATTGCCAAGTTCCAGCCATAGGGCTCGAGAGCGGAAGATGCACGGGCATCATACGAGCTTTCGAATCCCGAGACCGAACTGCAACAGTTGTCGTCTTTGCGCTCGTTAACCATCAACCGACGGATCTGCCTTAGGTTTCTGGATAGCTAATCCCGACAAAGCGCTGTAAGTGACTTGACGTGGTCGCTTGGATTGATAGACTAGTAAAAAAACGGATGCCAGACCGCTGCATGCATGTGTGCGTGTAAACAACTGCACTGGCTCAGGAACGTGCACGAAATTATTTTCCTTGAGTGTACCAAAAAAAAAAACGCTGAATGAAGTGCACCTGACGCGGCTACCAAGGTACCTGCTCAACTTTTAGGGAAACAAGACAAAAGTCATGTTTACTTCGCAGCGCAGAAAGTGCACGTATCCCATCGTTAAACAAAGTTTTGAAGAACCAGAGGTCGTAAGGGAAACTACTGAAAACTCTTTGGCGGTCCACGACCGGGTTCGCCCTTCTTGGAGCTCATAAGGTAGGCGCAGTCCCCAAGTTTCTGTCGGCCTTATGGACTAGTGGAAACCGAATTGGACAGATCTCGACAAACACACTCATTTGCATATCAACTTGACGAAGGGTGAAACCGGTCGTGGGTTGTCAAAGAGTTTCCAGCAACCTTGTGAGTAGTTTGCCTTATGAAAATATACTGAGATATCTTGAATATCGCACCAACTGAAACATAAGCGAGAGATTCAGTTGAGTGACCCGAGAAAACCCGGTTGAGTGTATTTGTTGAAACTAGGGATAATCTTTGGATTAAGATGCCCAAGTTGTACCGCAGTGCTACATCTGATCGAATGAAGCAGTAGGCGGAGCAAGACTCTACCATATCGGCCATCAACAAAGGAAGCTACCGCTAGGTTCGGTTTCAACAAACCGATCGGTTGGCTTACTACCATGAATAGAACCCTCATAAGAGTTATAAAAACCGGATTAACGTAGACTGATATCCACAGTGAGGTTCGCGTTAACCCACATATGTTTCCGTATTATCGATTTTACAGAGGCACCTTGGCTCTGGGTTATCCATTCCTTTGTCACTGTGTTACAGAAAAAAGGTGGTCTACAAAGCAAACAGATATCTGGCAAGGCATACATACCTTTTCCGTGGGTGAATTCACGGTCCAGTTGCAGCTTCCGAGTCCGAAACCGGCACTCGAACTGCAAATGGTTAAAAGGCCGAATATGTCCTGCAACCGAAGGTGGAAGACAATTATTAACATCACACGAATGTTTTGGGTGCTACGCTAGTAAAAACAGTGTGCGTGAGACAATGTTTTTTTCCTGATTCCATTGGCCTATTTCCAACCGGGAAAAGTCAATGTTTCTAACCACATGCGTTGAGGTAGCTACCTGGTGAATTGATGATCAATTTTATTCTGGTGTGCACAGAACTCGTAAAAAAATATCCTGTAGAAAGGATGGGAAACGCTGTTAGGACCTATCCAAACCAAATGCACATCTTAGTAAGCCTTCTGGCACATCTAGATTCGACCACATATCTATAATTACCGTCCTCAGCCCACAAAGCTCGAGAGAGCTCGGTGGTTACGGCGCAAACTTACTGACCAGATGGTTCGTGGTTCCAACCCAACTCTAGAGTCTCGACTGCTCCTGTCTAGGTTTGGGCAACCGAGAGTATCTCCTCAGCCCACAAAGCTCGAGAGAGCTCGGTGGTTACGGCGCAAACTTACTGACCAGATGGTTCGTGGTTCCAACCCAACTCTAGAGTCTCGACTGCTCCTGTCTAGGTTTGGGCAACCAGAGAGTATCTGAGTCCTCGTGCATCCTTGGGGTGGCATCACAGCTAAGCACCGAGTGTTACAGTTGAACGATTGATTACTAACCATTGATGGCATGGAAAGGTTTGTTCCGAGAAGTCTATGCGCTTCGTCAAAATGCCACTCATGTTTTGAAAATATTTATATTTGCGGATCAAGCGTCCGGGAAAAAACAATGACCTAGTCAATTAGGTAATGCGGATCGCATGTTGTGCCACCATGTTTCCAGAAAATGGAAAGAATCGATTTCTAGTAACACTGATGCTTACCTACAACACAAATGGAATTCCAAACGATTAAGTCTCCCATTACGAATTGGGCAACCGCGCATTTCCTTTCCCTTGGTTGTTACTGCATGAGTTGTGGCTTATTGGTTTGATTCTGTGCTCCATAAGGATTCTAATCAGCAAAAAGTTCTTTCTTACAGTTGTGTCTCAGAGACGAGGGACCTTGAACTGCTTGTTGGACGCACCTGACCCTCAGATGTAAGTGGCGCGGAAGTTTACGTAAATGAGAAATTTGTCGTTTGGTTATACATGACCCAAAGCAGATTGCTCTTAAAATTGCCGCACAGAGTTCGAAATGAACCATTAGCTTTCTCGGTACCTTACTCAGAGAATTTGGCCAAGGGTGTTCATGACCAGTTACGGCCAACTTCGATGCAATGCACACGTTGCTCATTCAAGTATCATTGTGAGCATAAATCGTTTTTCTGTGAACCAACAGTAATGAGTATTCGTGTGCTATTCTCAAAATGATGCGGAAGAACTGCTAAGTTGTTCAATTCAGGAGCCAGTTACGACCAAAAACAATCCTGATTGGTTAAATTCGTAATCAATTACGTGCACCATGCATTTCAACAAGTCTAAATCAGCCGTAAATTCGGTGAGCTGGCGCGCCGAGTGCTGTGTTACAAATTTGGATAGGAGAGACAAAAGTCGAGAAAAACGGATGGTCTCATTGGAGCCTTGCATGATGCATTATTATATACCCAATTGATCGTCAATAGTGCGAGCCAGATAAAATGACCTTTGGTGCCCCTAAAAAAACAAAGATTGAGCACAGGCAAACACATGGTGTTCTTACTAGTTGGTATTGTCAGGAAGGTTTCATCTCATAAGTGAGACTAATCTACGCTCAAAAGCCATGACGCACTGTACAGCTGTTCCGTCTCACGAAACTCCGGGGAGTCTCGAACGTAAGACTTCCCGGCTAGTAGTTGAACACCTAACCGCATGTCCGGATAACATGCAGAACGATGAATTCTCAACCATATACTCAACACATGAAGTGAACGGTCTCCTGAGTCACATCAGTGCAATAGTGAAACAGAGAAATAAAATGAAATCGTTCAACCATAGTACCCTTTTGGTGCCTAACTGCTATGCCACCCGAAGCAAGCACGAGGCGTGAGATACTGCAAGGTTGTCCAAGCCAAAACAGGGGAGTCGAGAGGCAGAGGTCGGGTTCGAACCACAGACCTTCCGGTCAGTAAATTCGCGCTCCGACCACTTGGGCCATCTGGCCCCAGAGCCGAACTAACGAGCAGTAGGGTGTGAGCTTCAGTGACTGAAAAATTCTAATATGAGTCATTCGCAAACAGTGTCGAGCATATTTTGAGTGAGAATCAGGGCAACCCTCCTATGTAATCGTTCGAGTTGAAACGATCGACTAGAGGAAGGGAGTCTGAAACCACTGATTACAGTCGCTCAAACTGTTTGATGAAGTGACGCGTGCCCCGTCGAATCCGCACTAAGGAATGGAAATCACTAAGAACTACTTGATACTAAAACACGCTTAAAAGGTTGGAAAATTAAATCAGACAGTCCATTCGCGGCTGGCTACGTCTGACGAAGGATACCCCGATCAGCTACGTCCACGCCAGTAAACAACGTGGGGAATTGGTGTCCCAAGTTTGAGTTCAACCATCCCAATTCAAGCGACAGCGCGTATGGGAAAGCTTCTGTCCATCCAGCGCCGAGTGCTACGCAACATGGTCAGTGATTCCACTTTTGCTCGGGTTATTTGGGATCTCAACTTTTCGATCAGAATCCAACGTGCATGCGTGAGCACCAACGATGAGCTGGCGGGTAATTGGGGCGATAGTCTGCACAACAGCGTTGACGGTCACTGTTTACGAGAGCTGGTCGGTTCACCTCTCTCTAATCGATGGCTTGTAATTCCAAAACGAGTGTTTCTTCGGATATTTACCCATGGATTCCAGCTCCGGTGCAACCTAATTTGGATGAGAGTTAAAAGTACCCAGTATGGTCATGACGACGAGACGATCTTCTGTCGTGGAAACTGTGGTCATCCAGAGTTTGGCACATATTTTGCGGTCATACTGGATCACGCATTATGCTAGATGTGCTTGTGACAGCTGAGTTGTAAGGGAACTCAAGAAACGTCTCCATCGCCTGGGATACACCGTCTTCGAGGAGTTGAGAGCACCTTCTTCGGAGTATTATATCACACGCGGCCTAATTACTGTTCTGGAGCGACAAGCGACTGTGATAGACGTCAGCATAGTCTCGGATAGGCACGGACTGACTGGGCGGAATGAGAAGTAGAAGTATGGCGTTGATGCTTGTTCCCTCGCCCTAAGCTCAGTTGATGATGATTTCCAGTTTTTGGTCCACCAAACGATGTTCATTTCTTATCGAAGAATTTGCTTTCCTCATTGCGCCAAGGCTGTTATTGGACTGGGACTTCCTAAGGTCACAGACAGTGACTTGTGTTTGCTCGCCATTTTGTGCTGTCTACGTACTTACGACACTGGCGCTGAGTATTCTTTCTTGTCAATGACTTCTATATCTGACTCCAATTGTGCCTGATGTGCAATTAGTGACTGTGCTGGCGCATACTGCGCGTTGAAGGATACTGAGTGTTGCTTGGCCTCTGTTCGGTTGCTGGTCCGTACACGTGTTTCGGCGCCCAACATGTTTACATAACTGGTAGACTATCCCGCTTGATGACAGGTTCTCCAAATGGAATATTTCCCCCTTTTTAAAGTCCCCCTGTAAATTCTTCCACATCTATCGCTCGCATTTTATGTCTGTGATCATGTCCTTCCAAAATGGGCAAAAACACAGTTGTAGTAGAGTACCAAATAGCCTGCTCAGGCGTCAAAAATCCAAATGCATCCAGGGTTCGTTGGTGAGTTCGTGGTAGCACGCTCGCCTCGCATGTCAGATGTTCAGAATTCAAATCCCTGGCCCGGTCAAGGATAAAAGCTGGCGGGTAATTGGGGCGATAGTCTGCACAACAGCGTTGACGGTCACTGTTTACGAGAGCTGGTCGGTTCACCTCTCTCTAATCGATGGCTTGTAATTCCAAAACGAGTGTTTCTTCGGATATTTACCCATGGATTCCAGCTCCGGTGCAACCTAATTTGGATGAGAGTTAAAAGTACCCAGTATGGTCATGACGACGAGACGTTCTTCTGTCGTGGAAACTGTGGTCATCCAGAGTTTGGCACATATTTTGCGGTCATACTGGATCACGCATTATGCTAGATGTGCTTGTGACAGCTGAGTTGTAAGGGAACTCAAGAAACGTCTCCATCGCCTGGGATACACCGTCTTCGAGGAGTTGAGAGCACCTTCTTCGGAGTATTATATCACACGCGGCCTAATTACTGTTCTGGAGCGACAAGCGACTGTGATAGACGTCAGCATAGTCTCGGATAGGCACGGACTGACTGGGCGGAATGAGAAGTAGAAGTATGGCGTTGATGCTTGTTCCCTCGCCCTAAGCTCAGTTGATGATGATTTCCAGTTTTTGGTCCACCAAACGATGTTCATTTCTTATCGAAGAATTTGCTTTCCTCATTGCGCCAAGGCTGTTATTGGACTGGGACTTCCTAAGGTCACAGCCAGTGGTTTGTGTTTGCTCGCCATTTTGTGCTGTCTACGTACTTACGACACTGGCGCTGAGTATTCTTTCTTGTCAATGACTTCTATATCTGACTCCAATTGTGCCTGATGTGCAATTAGTGACTGTGCTGGCGCATACTGCGCGTTGAAGGATACTGAGTGTTGCTTGGCCTCTGTTCGGTTGCTGGTCCGTACACGTGTTTCGGCGCCCAACATGTTTACATAACTGGTAGACTATCCCGCTTGATGAAAGGTTCTCCAAATGGAATATTTCCCCCTTTTTAAAGTCCCCCTGTAAATTCTTCCACATCTATCGCTCGCATTTTATGTCTGTGATCATGTCCTTCCAAAATGGGCAAAAACACAGTTGTAGTAGAGTACCAAATAGCCTGCTCAGGCGTCAAAAATCCAAATGCATCCAGGGTTCGTTGGTGAGTTCGTGGTAGCACGCTCGCCTCGCATGTCAGATGTTCAGAATTCAAATCCCTGGCCCGGTCAAGGATAAACACTCCTGATGAGCTCTAATAAGAGCGAAACTCAAGTCCAGTGCTTCTCCTCGTTGATATCAGGACAGAAGGAGGACTGGTAGTACAACGGGAACATTTTGTGGAGCTGAAACGAAAGCCCATGGTGCAAAACATCGCGATGCTATTGGAAACCGTTAACAATAGAACGTGGCGTACGAGGAGGCATACTAAGACCGGTGCTTGATCGAGTATATGACTGTCCAAGACACATTGAAGGAAAACTGACGCGTGAATTCGATGTAAGACAGTTGATAGGCATCTGACGCAGGAGAAATGAAAAAACCTAGAGAAAAACCTACCACAGGTTCGTGATAGGCAACCAATTGTATTCTGTCCAGGGTATCCTTAATTGTTTGGCGGGAGTAGAACTCTTTCCAAACTCTGTCATTAGCGCCAAGAAAATCGTGCAGGAAAGAACGAGGTTGTCTAAAACAAAGAAAAGCATAAGGTCGTTGGAGTTCCATGAACATGGAGGGGGTATATGGTCAAAAAGCGGTATTCGCGCTGTGCCAAGATAACCTCTCAGTGTACTTGTTCCCTGCAGTACCACGAATACCCAAAATGCCATTGTTACATTGGTCGCTCGGTCACCAGCTTTGATTGCTGGAATACGCGGAAAACACAGCTGACCAATACTCGGAAGAGTACACTCTTGACACTTTTCCAAGGGACTATGATCCTAGAAGAGGATAAGCTAGATCAATCTCTCTTCACATGATCACCTGGGCCGCTCAATTACACCATAAAAATGAGGTAGCCAAATTGTTGGATCGTTGCAGTATACTGAGCGAAGGACATTGTCTGACCGAGTGAAAATAGGTCGTATTTTTCTCCTGATAAAAGGTAAAAGTAGGGGTTGGAATAAGGAAGTCCACAAAGATGCGACAAAAGCCCTAGCTTAATATCACTTACATCAGAAATACCATACCCCAAAATCGAATCAAAGTTCACAGTCGCGACATCCCTTTGGTACATAACTCCAATACAACCCACTGGAAGCAAAAGCGCTGGAAGAATATCAAGAATATCAAGCTAACCTAATTATGAATATCTCTCACCAGGAGGTGTCAGCAGTCTCGTGTTTTGATCTTCAGCCGTAACTGCTCCTGAACTTGCTTGGTTTCATTGACACACCCCCATTCTTTCAGTCTTATCTATCTCAGGCCGAAGACCTTACGCACTATCTCTCCCTCTCTCGTTCAGCTGTAGTACCCCCTTCGGTGCTTAACTGCCATGCCACATGAAGGAAGCACAAGGGCTGGATACTGCCAGGTTGCCCAAGCCTAGACATGGGAAGTCGAGAGGCAGAGGTTGGGTTCGAACCACGGACCTTCCGGTCAGTAAATTCGCGCTCTATCCACCTGGTCCATCTCACCCACCTTTAGGTGTAATATAAAATTAGGTTAAAATCACGCTGTATTTTCGTATATTGGGTTGACCCCATATAAGAAACAGAAGACGAACTAAGTACAACATACTACGGTCAGCGTACACTTGTTTGCAAATTTCTGAAGTTGTATGCGAATAAAAAAATCAGTCAAGCTTAACAGATGGCATGGTCAACGAGATCCAGTTGCACGCTTAGACTGCCCATATTGTGATCAGTTAGCTTCACTCACCCAGCGGGTAAGATCCATTTGTTTTAAAGTAAGATCATGCAAATTCGGGCGGGCAGGTTAGAGGTGAACGGATATGAATTTCCCACCGCTGTGCAATAGTGGTTTCAATGGTTCTTCAACAAGAGAACAACCGGATCCCACTTAAGATGCAGTCCCTCAACTGAGTCCGTCAAATGCTGAAACTGCCTAGTCAATAAGCGAACAGCGAGAACAATGACTATCTCGATACAACACGTGCCTTGGATCGATTCCAGAATAGATCTGACAAGTCAAGAAGAAACTGTAAAACAGCCTGTCTTCTCCAGACCTATAGATGTGGTCTATGGACATAGACATACTCTAGTCTATCTAAAATAGATCGTTTCCTTTCCACAGGTCATCTAACGCGTCGTGAAACTACTGATTCGATAATGCTAAAAATGCTGAGAGTTATCCAGGATTAAAAACTGAAGGCTTGCAAACCTTTCTGCGAAGAAGTATCGTTGAGGGCTTTTCAAGCAGGAAGGATGATAAAGAAACGGTGTGTACTTTACGGTTTACGAACAAATTGGCGTTGCGCCGGGTTCTCATGGTTTGGTCTTTACCAGTCCGACAGGAAATACACAACTATCCGGTTCGATGATTCATGTGTGACTAGTAGTTGCAAACGGATAATGAACAGTTGATCGCCGCACTACAAACATTCTGCACAACAGAACACCTGCTTACTTCGGATCTTGCTTCAGTTGTTCCACCGGGTATCGCTTGCAAGGCGGAAGCTGCTCCAACGCATCCAGTAAATCCTCCATCAAAACTCTGTTCGTGACAAATTAGTGATGATCAAAAAGCCACCCTGTGCTTACTTTCCAAATTTTACTACTGGTTCGGTGGCCAGGATACGTCCACGAAAGTTTGTCGCCGAACAAATGAATGGTAGACCTAGTATGCTGTTGGTGTTAGACACCAATATCACATCCACCGCGTCCCAAATAACTGAAGCGAACTAGAATGGGGAACAAAATAGTACGCTAGACCGGTGAAGGCGGGTGTGACCAACCTCAGTTTTGTTCATCAGACAGAATTGAGGTTTCGATCTCAGATAGATATTATCTCCTATTGTGACTTGCTTGAAACCGATATCGATTAGAGATCAGTGGAATTGCAAACCCACATACACAATCATCTTGCGTGGCAGGAACAGAAGTTGCATGGCTTTTCTTTGCAACAGAAACATCCTCGTGGGTGGGTACGGGCAGATCTGAGCAACCGGGACTAAGAAAATGGAAAAAGTCAGGTAGATACGTACGTGAGAAGCTGGTGGGAAGGTAAAAAATGCACCAGCGCCGATGTTTCGATGCAACAGTCCAGGAGTACATTGACGTCCCTCAAATGCAACAAGTAGCATGGGTTGTGAATGTCCGAACTAAGGCGTTTCTAGTTTCTAGTCAAAGCGTGATCGACAGACGGCTTACCAATTTGAATTCCAAGTGACTGGTGTCAAATTGTCTTTCAGAATCCATCGTTTGTAAAATGAGACGACCCAGTGGCTGCAAAATACGGTGGTAACAGACAGAGTAACGGGTATGTGTAAAAAACAACCGTTTGCAAGCACGTAGAAAAATAAGTGGCTCACAACGTTATGAGGAAATAAAAGAAAAAAGCGGAGGCTCATAATGTTGCGATAAACTTTGTGGCCTATCCGACACAGTTTGACGCCCTATTCAATACAAACAAAGTTTGGGGATAGCATGTCACCCTTCTCAGCACCACGTCGAAAATTAGTCTGTGCCACGGAACCGGGATGCTTAACAGACGCGCCTGAGGTATTACATAGGCGTGCTAACTAACAGACATCAGCTGCGCATGGTGCTCGCATTTGAGGACAGCCACGATCCTACATGGTACCGGAACTGGAAGCTCGTTGTTTCACTGGCTCAAACATATCTGAAAAACTAAAGTTCAGTAGTCCATTAACAACCATCTTCCGTAGTGTGTGAGGACAGCGAGAGGGTTGTTGTGAACGGACTGAGCTTTTTTGAAGTGTGATGAGATGGGCACTTGTGTGATTGAGTAAATCAGAATCAGAATCATTAGAATAGCGACATTGTTCTGCATATTACACCGACTATAAGACAAAAAATCAGGTAGAGCAAGAATTGGTAACTCTACGTATGTCTCTGACCCAGCTGTCATGTATTTTGTGCAGGCAGGGGAACTTAGCGAATATCTTCACAGTAACGTGTCACTAAAAAAACGAGCCCAATCGCTGTTTGAGTTGTTCGATTGTAGTAGAGGTAACAACCGTATGTGGTAATTTATTCCAGATAGGTAATATTCGGCGTGTGAAATCGTAGTCATTTGGCATAATATCCAGATGCAATACGCTCAACTTGAAGTAATGTTCCCGTGCAGCCAAAACAAGAATCGAAGATGAGGATAGTGTCCTAGGCATACGGAGGACATAAAAATAAGTCAATCCTAATTCGCCTACATTCCACTACGTATAATTTCAAGTTCCTGCGTCTGTCTAGTGTGGTGTGCGGCGTAGTTGCGATATCGGCTGTGTTACACTTTTTCCAACCTGTGTGCCCAGCCCTTGCACACGGAAAGTTACCATACACTGGCACTTGTCGAACGAAGACTGAGTAGATTTCAATGATCAATGGCTCCGTCCACACAGAAAAACTCCTCTTCAGTGACCATAACATGCGCAAGGATTTTGGCAGGCACCGCTGGTGTGGTTCTTCATTTTTGGATCGCCATGGAACTGAATGCTGTTACTTGGTATTAGTACTCGAAAGTAACTCCTGTCCGTTTAGGAGATAAGCGTCGTGAGATGTGTGCCTTCCTTGTATGCAAGGTAGGTCCAGTTGTAACATTTTTTGGGTGTTAGGACGGTCAGATCCCAACGAAGAATTCGACCTTTTGTAATATTTCACTGAGATTCCATTTTTTCTGTTGTGCCGCAAGGGGGCGAGCTAGCCCAAGTGGTTAGAGCTCGAATTCACTCACCGGAAGGGCCGTGGTTGGAACCCGACCTCTGGCTCTCGACTTCCCTTGTCAAGGCTTGGGCAACTTGACAGTATCCCAGCCCTCGTGTCTCCGTGTGGCACGGCAGCTAGGCACCGAAAGGGTGCTACAGCTGAACGATTATTTATTTATTTAGCCGCGGTGCTCTTTCTTCCACTGGTTTGTCCACAGTATGGTCTATCTTCATCTAATGTCTTTTGTCTTCTTGAGGTTTTCACATTCAAGTACTTGGTCTATCAAATCGCGATAGAATAGGTTCCAACAATCCTCTAAATCACTCAGCTAACCCATAGACGCGACAGTTGATCATCAGAATCTTGAATGGTTCACCAGAGTTCCTAATCGTCAGCGAACAGGAGATATGATGATTTAAACCTGGTGAGGAGGTCGTTAATATGTGAGAAAAAGCAGTAGTCCAAGTGCGGTTCTTTGTGGAACACCAAATGGTGTTGGATGACATATGGTGTAGTGGTCGTTTACTTTCCAGCGTCTCCCATGAATGAGTGAAACCAAAGTATGAGTTCCGCTGACGGAGTAGCGCTAGTTTCTAGAGGAGAAAACAAAAACTAGCATTATTGCCGACTCATCGTCAGGTGCTACCAGGCTGCGTTCCACGTCCTTCAAAAACACCAGTTTGCTTGAGAGTTTCAGGCGTTCTTTGTGTACGAGCAGACCATTTTCGGAGTTTCCATCTTCCTCACTAAGTGTAGCTCGTAGCAGCGGCGATCGAACAGCTCGACTGCATTACAAAGATTACGTTGTTTGAATACTTCGCAATCAGCAGGATCGGCTGATGTTGTAGCCCAATTCCACAGTCTCCGGCAGCCTTTGGTGAGAGAACATATTTATGTCAGAAGACGGATTCATTTCGTGGGGCACAAACTGATCGTACAGTTATTCCATATTTTTGTTTAGCGTCGACCAAAAGACATCGACAATTTCCTTGATCACGAGCATCCAGTCCAACTGCCGTTCTGCACAACGTAAGGCATCCATTTCAAGTCTAGAGACGTTTCTTGAGGTTTCTCACATAGCCAAGCGCGTATTCGGTAAGCAGATACGAGCACCTAAGGTTTCGTGATCAGTATTACAAATAGGCCCTGCGAAGGCTAATCCGTCAGCTCGTTGGTGTGCGAACAGCAGGTCCAAACAATGTGGGGAACGTGAGGATACGTACTGTGTAACCTCCAGTACGTATGGCATCAATCCTAGCCCAACAGACGCGTCTAGGAACCTCCTTCAAGAAATGTGCAACCAGGCGTGCGTAAACAGCTCGCCAAATCAATATGTGGAAGGTTGGAGTCACCAAGCAGCAAGTGTAGCTTTCTCAAACATTACTGGGCTTGTATGATCCAGTCTGAAAACGTGTTCTCTGAGCTTCGATGTAGAACTCCAACGTGGAAAACAGTTTGGGCTGTGGGTATTTCGAGCCACAACTATTCACACAGTTGATCCTCGCCAGGATAAGTGTCAACTAGGCAGCAATGAATGTCCGACTTGATGAGGGGACTATGCAGTTTCATGAAGTGGCAGTTTGTGTTGCCCCGTGACTCACTGAGCTATACTGAGAAAAATAAAATAAAGATAATCATCGTGTTGTAACACCCTTTCGATGCCTAGCTGCCATGCCACCAGAAGTAAGCACGAGGCCTGAGATACTGCCAGGTTGCCCAAGCCTAAACAGAGGAAGCTGAGAGGCAGAAGTTGGATTCGAACCACGGTCAGTAAATTGGACACTTACAGTCACTCATACCAGGTTTGTCAATGGTTATAGGTCTAACCAACACTGTCTTCCGGACCTACAGATTGTGGGTTGGAACACGTGTCGCAACTTGATCTGTAAAAATGGTAATTCATCTGGATCTCCCGCCAAATGCCACTACCATAACCTGTCAAGCTTTCTCGACAAAGGACTTGGTTAAGAATCCTAATCGCCCCACGTATAAGCCTGGGCGCTTCGGTAGTATACCAGCCCATGTACAACCACGACACTAGTAAGCAACAATGCTCCCATGCCACATTGGCCGTCGCGTGGTGCACTCAGCCGGGTCGCCTTTCTTGCTGCATACAGCAAGGCGAGTAAACGAAAACAGACTACTGTTGACGCCTTCCTTCTTCCTCTTTCACATACTTCTTCCTCCCTTCCTCTCACACTGTCCTTATGGGCCCGGTAGTTAGGAATGGTGACTCCGTTCGTTCCTCATTGCTTTTCAAACAATATCTGCGCGTCATCCGGCGCTGCCACCATGAGGTAGCTCGAAATCAAGCTTCAAGCCTCGATACCCAGTCTACATGGCCGCCTGGATTGTTAGCACTCTGAAGCAAGCAGGAAAACAAGCCACTCTTGCTTCCACACTGGACTCGCTTCACACTGATGTGTGCTGTATATCAGAAACCAGAAATCAGGATGCAAACACAGAGATAATTCCCCATCAGACTCCACTCGGTTCCCGCTGCGAAAATCCGGTAATTCAGAAACCACTGCAGCGGGATGTGCAGAAGTCTGTCTCGGCCTAAGTCATCATTAACAGCTGTAATAACCGCGTACTTGTCGTATAGTGATTGTATCCATCATAGTTTCGCCCACCGATTAGCTGTGGAAATGAAATAGGCAGCTGCGTGTTGGAGGTGGAGAAGCTGATAAACTGGTGCGCGAATACAGGACTGCCAGTGGACTTTTAAGTGGGGAATTGAGAATGGAGCTATGTACTGAAGGTAATAGCTTGGATGCAAGGGCGCCAGTGAGAGCGCTGCTGGGCTTTGTCTGACAATGTCCTTAACCATTGATGTTGTCCGTCTCGGGTCCCCGTCTAGGGAGACGGCAATGACCAGCGCAGCTGAGTTTGCTTGTAATGATTTTCACACTTCGCTTCCAAGTCATTGTTTTACCTCCTCTAGCTCGTTTACGTCCTGTGCGTGATCCTCACAAAGAAGCGAGAATCCCTTTGCACCCAAAAAGTGTAAGCTCACGTTCATCTATATGCAGTCACTGGATGCGCCAATTGCAGTCCAGAGAGGCACTCGAAGTTATGAAGTGTTTGCATACCCTGGAAAAAACCGTTGTCGGAGCACACTTTCAACGCCTAACTGCCACGCCACCCGGAGGAAGCACGAGTGTTAGGCAGGAATCCACGCGGATCCCACTACACCGCACGTCTTTAGGCGCTGCTACGGCCGAGAAGCCCGGCCCGCTCGACGTCGGCCCAAAATTCGGGACGCTTGCCGGTCCGGCATCAAGACGAGATCTGATTGGTCAACAATCTGGACCCAATAGCCAATCATGATCCAGTATTGGCCAAATGCCGGTTGCCAATGGAGCTCCAGAACGCGTCAGAAATTCCAGAAAGTTATAGCCGCTTACGCTATATATACGAAGCGCTGTACAACTGTTCCTGACTTCGTTTTGGGCGTTAATAGACCTTTTGCAACTTTGGTGTTTGTTTTGACGTGAACACTAGCTTGGGAGGCTCAGACCGAGAACTAAGCTGAGGAAAATACCGTTACTACAACGAGCGATAAGATACTGCCACGTCGCCCAAGCCTAGAGAGAAGTCGAGGTGCAGATGTCGGTCCTCCCGGACCTCCCGGTCAGTGGGTCCGCGCTCCGATTGTAGCGAGACATATGAAATCAATCCACGAATCTCCAAGACTGGGGTCGCATTTGCTAATTTGATACATCTTGGGCGTCAAAATGGTATATCCATGGGCCTCAAGAGACGTGTTTATCGGGCTGCAGTACAGATTTCGATGTACGCCTGTGAGACATGGCCTGTTCGAGTGGCGGAAATGAGACGTTTTCTGGTGTTCGACAATCGTTTCCTCAGGTCCATAGCTGGTGTGGGTTGGCGTCGGCGAATCCGTAACGAGGCAATTAAGGAGTGCGGTTTCGGTCGTGCAACGTGCACTTCCATTGAAGAATGTGTCCAGCATCAGAAGCTGCGATGCTTGGTCATTGAATTGCGTATACCCAAACATCGTTTTCCAAAGACTGCTGCTTTGCATGCTCAATTGAGTGGCGGAAGAAGAGAAGTGGCCAACCCTTAACCCGGCAGAGGGATTACGAAACGTTTGGGTTTTGTCGGTGCTATTCGATTTCCGTGATGGGGGCCGCATGATCTCCACTGCGCCTGGTTGGAGACGCTGCAAGATATGGCTGCGAACCGATGTCAGTGGCATTCTTTCCGTCAATTTCTATCCAGATTGCCTGAATGAGTGTATAAAGCTGTAGGAAGGATTATAGTAAGCTAGCACTAAGTCCCTTCAACGGCACCCTTACTATTTTCTTCGCAATAAGGCTTTCGAATAATTCATGGTTGTACGGCAGCGAAGCATTAGTGTTGAACGTTGACGACGTAGGTGGTTTTCATACCTTTGAGTCTCCATAGTCGCGACCGTACGCTATTTTGTGTTTTCTCGTATTGGAAGATGATTTTCGTCGGTCGGATCCTGCTCTTGAAGAAACTACAGGTCGTTGTTTTATTTAACCGGTGGATCATCTGCCTCGGGTTCAGTTGGGTCAAAAACCATAGGGCAGTGCGCTCTTGTGAACTAAGGGCGGTTGGACGTTTATACTGATGACGTATTTCTGTCTTTCGTCAATTTTCGGGTGGTGTTGACGGGTTATTTCTTTGGCTTATTTACGCTTAATCACACGTTAGCAGACTTTTTCCCTACGTGAAGTCGAGGTGGTTGTCGAGCCAGGTACGTCATTCATTCAAATCGAAGGGTATATCGGTTGGGAATCTAACATAATCGTCTCTACAACCCTACTTGAAGTAACAGCGTCGGATATTTTTTCACATTCGGCAGGCTCTTTTGATACTTAATTAAGAAGTCTGCAATTGCAGATGGCAGCTTCTAGAATATCTTAAGGTATTCTAGCAGATCGGTATGAACGTATGACTTATGATTTTTCAGAACCCTCCCCAAACACTATCACGATGCACACTACACTGAAACCGTCTGTTCAAATGTCACCTTTCAGTTAGCACGAAGCTCGTACTGGACGAGATGCTACACCTAAACAGGGAAGTCGATTCATGCACAAGCCAAACTGAAGCAAATGATTGGTTGGTCCTAGTCACGTGATCCATTCCGGAACATACGAGGCTCAGCTGCTCAACAGAAATTTGCACCAGCTGCCTCTGGTGGCTTAGCGGCCAAGCGGGATAAGCTTGGGGGCGGCCCTGATAGTTCGCGGTTCAAGTCGGGTTAACATGTTACTTCATAGAATTCTACTACTTTTACTAAGTCATATATAGCAATAAAATATTATTCATCAAGATGAAAGCAACCTAACGTTCCGAGTGCGAAGTTTTGACTATGGTCACCTATCCATGAATATAGTTAAGTTTGAATCGAGATTTCCGAAAACACAAATGTCGAGTTCCTCCCAAGCTTTATTTGGAAGGAATGATGTGTGTAGTCAGAAAAAGGTTGCGTGAAGAAAGGTAGTTCGATGGATACGTTAAGGTATGCGGACGTTAAGATTTCCTATTTTATAAATGTCCTGTTGCACATATTTAACGCGAGGAGCAGAATTATCCTGCAATAGATTATTAAAATTGTTCCATGCTATTTTCTCGCTTGCATTGACAGTTCAGCTCTCCTTGGTTTATGCGCCTCAACCAATTAAATCGCCTTTTTTTATGGCTTGTGCACAAATGCAAGTTGAACGCACGCGCTTCCTGGTTTGTGCACAACTAACCAATAATCGCATGCCCCATAACAGAACTGCTAACTGCTGCAGCAGCCGGCTAAACGAGCCCATATTTGATTGGCTAGAATTCACGGATTCACGGATTGACATACAAGATCGAGGCTATTGCCCAAGTTTTCCGGGTCGCTTTGTTCTTGTCCGTCAGTGGCTGTTGTTCACCTGAAAGGTACAAGTGAAAAAAGGGTGTAACGCTGCTCTTTATGTTCTCAGCGCGAGGATTTGCATAAATAAGCATTTAATAGTGCTCTAAATTGGGTTCTATAAGGGCGTGAACAACCGTCGGAGGAAGGTCATTCCAGGCACCTACTACCAGAAATGAGAAAAAGAATTGTCTAATGAATGCGTGCTCTGAGCTTGAAATTTTTCTTACTATGTCCCCGTCGGGTGTTTGCTGGGTCAACGGTAAAAACCTGTTGGCCAAGCTTCGTTCAAACAGGGCGTAAGTAAGAATTAGGTCCCCTCGGGGGCGACGGTACTCCAGGAGAAAGAGATCAAGCATCGCGAGACGCGTTTCGTAGTCCACGGATTTGAGGCCGGCAAACATTCTCGTAGCGGCTCGCTGGACACGGTCAATGAGGGTGACGTTCTTTGTGCATCCTGAGTAGCCAACTTGGTTTGCGTACTTCAGGAGCGGTCTGAAGTAGGCCCCATAGAGTATTTGGAAGTCCATGCGAGTAATACGAGAGAAGGTGCGCCGAATCAACCGTAAAATGGCAAATGCATTTTGGGCCGATTTCTGACGAGACAGTGAGAAAGACAAGTTTGAGGAGACACAGTTACCCAAATCCATTTTGGCATCTATCCTCATGAGGTTTTCTGGTCTTTCCTCAACATGCATAAAAAAGGCATTAGCTGATTCTCCTCTAAACGACATAAGGACGCACAATTCAAAATTCAGAGGAAGGTGCCAGTCCAAAGACCACTACATCACAGCGTCTACATCCAATTAGAGGGCACAGGCATTGGAACTCCAGGATACCAAGTCGTCCGTAAAAGTAGACATGGACTTGCAAGAACAACTGGAAGGTCGTTGATGTAGATCAGAAAAAGCTGAGGTCCCAAAACGTAGCTTTGAGGAACTCCAATGGAGACCGGCGCTGGAGAAGCGCAGGTAAAACCTACCTTCACGCGGAATGACCTGTCTGATATAAATCCCTTGCCCCAGTGTGGGATTTTCCCTTGAACCCCGCAAGGCTCGAGTTTGTGGAGTAGCGGGACGTGTGGGACCCTATCAAGTGCCTTTGGGAAGTTCAAAAATGACATCCGATATGAGTCCCTCGTCCTTGGTTTGGGTTAAGCTGTCCATACATACGAGCATGTTTGTCACGGAAGAACGGTTTGGGAGAAATCCGTGTTGAGCTGGGGATATCAGGTTGCTGGAAGTAAGACGACCTAGGATAGCTCGCTTCAGAATGCATTTCATCACCTTGCATGGCATGCTAGTGGAGCTTATAGGCCTGTAGCTGCCAGGCGACAGTCGGTCACCGGTTTTGTAAATTGGCGTGACAATCGCTTCCTTCCAAGCAGAGGGAAGGCGGCTTTCGTCAAGCGACTGACGAAACACCAGGTGGAAATGTTTTGCTAGTGTGAACGTCGTTTCCTTCGGGATTATTATATGGACCCCGTCGAGTCCCGACTCGCAGAACAGGTTGATCCTGTGCAAGAGTTGACGAATGCCCTCAGTCGTGAAGACCAAGTCAGTTAGAGGCTGTTCGTAGTTCCGCCTTGACAAGAGTGGATGTGACGAGGACGCGGGGGGAGTATAGACCTGCATAGTGTTCTCTGTAAACTTCAGATACTACTGTTGGGTCACTCGTGGGTTATCCGTTTCTGTCCCTCAAGGAGAACGCGGATGGCTTGTTTCTGCGGCGATGTCTCATGTATTTGAACAGTACATTATTGTTTTTCCGAGCAAGGTCCAGAATGGTGGTTAGTTTTCGTATGTTCCGTTGGCTGGTTTCCAATTTGCAGCGGTTCCGTATGCCAGTATTCTTTTGTGTCTCCTATAGTCAACTTTTTGATAAAAAGTTGAGACCCCTATTCCAGAAGATGCCAAATCCTTTTGGGATAAACATCGCATCAGCCTCATGAACTTCCCGGATAATTGTCCAACATAAGAGAAAGAAAGCGTTCAGCTGTAGCACCCTTCCGGTGCCTAGCTGTCATGCCACCCGAAAGATGCACGAGGGCTGGGACAGGGGAAGTCGAATGGCGGGGGTTGGATTCGAACCACGAACCTTCTAGTGAGTAAATTCGCGCTCTAACCAGTTAGACCATCTCGTCCAATATAAATCTTCCACCAAAGCTGGTCCAAGCTTAATTTGTGCAAGAAAGGTGCGCATTCCTGAGAAGTCTGCACGGCAGAAGTTTTGGAGCCACATTTGAGGTTCGGGATTTCTGTCCCCCAAATGGTCAGCACACAGTGGTCACTATGTCCAGTGGATCCGTCAATTATCACCTGGTCAACGATGATGACCAAATCCGGGAGGGATGGTCTGCGCGGTATCTGGTGAGGCAACGTCATTTCGAGTCCAGGCGCTCTGTTGAACGACCTCAATCAGCGCCGCTGCAAAAAGTCTACCTGATCCAGGGCTTAGCGCCTTGAAGTCACCTACCAGCAGATGAATAAAGTGGTAGCTGAAGGAGAGTTGCCCAAGAGTTCGTAAAAGGAATTGGTCATCTTCAGGGTGCTCGAGGGGCTATAGTAGACTGCACCGAGAAGGAGAGAAGCAGACCTGCGCAGTGCATCACAAAAAATGCAGGAGGGGAATCAGAGGGGACAGTCGGGATGGGCAGGACCACATGGAAGTACAAAGCAACCCCACCAACCATCCCTCGTTTTGACTTGGTTCGAAAAACAGAGTAACCGTTCATCGAGATCTCCACATTAGAGGCATCTGGTATGAGCCAGGTCTCTGTGAGTGCAATTACGGACAGTTGCCCAAGGCAAGCTGACTGGTCAATATCGTTAAGTGTGTTGAAAAGGCTGAGGCGATTTGTGGACAAGCATTTCAACGCTGCTTCTGTTGCATCCGAGAGTGAAAAGCCGAGAGTTTTGTGATCAGGGAGGTTAGCGGACATAACGGTTGAATGTCTCGTTTGAGTCCAAGGCTCCAGAGGTCTCTGTGACATACTCCTCTGATTGTTGGTTTCGAGGGATGCTTTTCGTTTGCAGGTTTTCTTTGGCCCCGTGGGATTCCGGTTTGCTCGGACCTTTTAACCCTGATCTGTGGGACGAAGTTTTTCCCCCTGACACTTTTGTATGCGAGTCTTCGCGCCAGCAGCCTTACTGTATCGCGCTAAGTACTTAAAGAAAAGTGGTTCACTCTTCTTTCTTGCTTTTGCCTTTCAGCCGCTTAATGACGAGAAAGGAAACTACTCGAGAAATTTGGGTGGACGTCTCGATCCTGTGTATCAATGTAATATGCACGCTATGGAAGCACCAGGGGACAGTGATTCTCCGAAGGCAGGTGTTCACGACAATTTCCGTGGATGGAGAACAGAAACAAAGCTCATGAGCCGAAGCCCAGTAAGCAATGTCGTACATCACCAATACTTACATACAAATCAACCAAACTGACATACACCGTATACCACAATCAATTCTTCAGTCCGTGAAACCGTGCCATGACCAATAATCAGGCCTCGCACTTGATTGGTTAGATACCCAGGTGGGCTCTCACTCACGGGTTCACAGGCCTGTACACAGGATCAAGGATTCCACCCAATATTACAGGAGTCGAGCTTGTTTTTGGTTTTCAGGGGCTTCTGTTCACCCGAAATCACGATTGGGTAAAGTGCTGCCAATCCTGGGCGGTAGGCTTGTCAGTGCAATGACTCACATATGAATAAGCATCAAAAGTGTCTTGTGCTGGCTTTTGATGCAGCTGTGAACAACCGTCGGATGAAAGTTATTCCATGCACCATCGACCTGAAATGATGAAAAAATTTTATATGAAAAAAGGTTTGCTCTGAGCTTAAAAATCTTCTTACCCTACCCAACGGGTGTGTCGGTTGGGTGAAAATCCTGCGCTCAAAACCACGTTCAGATAGGTCTTATGTCAGAACTATGTCGACGATACTATGAGGACGATACTCCAAGTGACAGATTCCAAGAACCAAGGGACGCGTTTCACAATCAACGGATTTGCGGCCAGCATCCGTTTTCGTAGCATTTCGTTGGACACGCTCACTGAGACTTAAGTCCTTGCAGTTTTGGGGTTTTGCGGATAGGTATTTTTGTTCATAGTAACACCACTCTCGTTCGAACTGTCGTCCTCTTGTTCTGGCGTAATTATCCCGGTGATTCCACACCAAAGGGAAGCACCGGGCTCTTATGAGATCTCATAGAATATCTGGTGGTTCATTCAAGCACTGCAGGAGAAGATGCGGCGAATTATTCGTGGAACGATTATTCCCTTTTAAGCCGACTTTCTATGTTGCGGTGCACAGGACATCTTAGACGAAAGCCAGATTCGTGAATCCCTTTTGATTTATATCCTCCTAACTTTTTCTGGTCAGTTCTCTAATGCATTGCAAATAAGTTTGCCCAATCACCTTCGAACGACACTTATATTAACTTTTTGTCTCCCAGAGGGAGCTATCAACCTAACTGCGTCTACCTCCACTTGGGGGACTAGAATTAAGAACTTCAGTATTTCCAGTCGCCTGCAAAAGATAGACGTAGCATTAAGAATGAACCCGGATGTTAGTTGACGCAGGTCAGAAACAGGATTGGTCCCAAAACGAAGCCTTGGTTTCAGCCAATCACCAAGTAGAAGATTGTTTCGCTTATTCAATCCAGGACCACCGGCCCATTATTTGCGCCCCCAGAGAGCGATCCGTCACTATAAGCTTGATTTTGGAAGGCATGTGAATGCTGCCAGCATGCTTCAAGCTACCGAGTACAGCCGTAAGTTTTGAAGGTGTTACCAAAAGCTCGAAAGTTCGCTTGCTTCCAATTACTCATAATTTTCCTGTGTGGAGAAAAGCGCATTAGGTCACCAGCTAGTAGCGACTTTGCCAGTTTTGTTGGAATGCTTATTCCGGATAGACCTCTCCAGATGATAATTCTGAACTTCCTTATCCACTTCACACTAGAGGCGCCTTTGAGGTTTTGATTATGAGGTCAGAGAGCTGGACTAACCCTTTGCACCCAATGGGCCCGGGATTCGGAGGGCTATATTATCTTTTCGAAAATAAAGCTCCCTGCCAAATTTCATCAAGGCCACTTCGTCTCCAAAGCCTTCGAACGAAGTGCCAGTGATTTCCTCGAGTGTCCCCTTTAGGACAATTTCACTGGTCGTTCTGACTTACAGGTGGGGAGCTGTCCCCAGTGAGAAAAAGGCAGTTAGCACAGGGAAAGGGTCACAATATATAGATGATCAGCTTCCATGGTTAATTTGCAAGCCCATACACTTACATCTGTCACCAGGCCTGGCAAGCATGACGTTGCGTTCCGCGTAATGAATTCAGTAGACATCGATTTTGTCCACAAATGTCGTGGTCGACTGACAGAATGCTGCACGTGCATTTTATGTTGAAGTGAATATTCAACTTAGTGACACATTGTGACAGTCGATTGACTGGACAGCGGCAGGAGCGGCAACTGCAGCCATTTTTTGACTTTACGCACATCCGAAAACTATTGCCGAAACATTCTGTTTGGTGGCCTGATTAACACTATTGTCATTTGACGAAAATCTGGGTTCTGAGAAGGCGGGAAGGAAAAAATGCCACACGGTGACGTTAACTCTGACATTTACACAGGTATTTTAGTTTGATATAAATATGGTGGTACAAGAATTGTCCTTCTGCGATTGCCGTATTTTGGGCGGTTGTGTAATGTTTTCCCCAAATGTTGGCCTAGTCTCA